CGCAGCCACGCTTACCGAAGCCGAGGGGTTGCCCCCCGATCCGCACCATGCGCCACAGCTCCCCCGTCGAGCTGGTCAGCAGCAGGTCGCTGGGGAACCTGAGAGAGGGGGGGCTGAGCGTAACCCCCCTTTCCCAGAGCCCCCAGCCGCAGGGATGGACAGACAGACAGACAGCACCTACCGCTTCTGGGTTTCGGCATCCATCACGATGGAGATGTAGCCCTCGATGAGGGAGAAGGAGAAGAAGGTGCTGGAGTCGAGGTCCTGGCTGTTGGCGCCAGCCTCCCTTGGGGGGCTGTGGAGCGAGGAGGGGGCATGAGAGCCACAGAGAGGGGTCACGACCCCCAAAATTGGGAGGAGGAGGACGGTTTGGTGGTGGCACTGAGCATCTCTGAGCATCATGTTGGGGTGCTGTGGGGTGAGCTGCTGCGGGGTGGGGTGGAGGCAGGGACAGGAGCGGAAGCTACCACAGGATCTGCCGCTCATCCAGCTGGGGTCAGCCACAAGCAGGACAGGGTGACACTGGGTTCTGGGGCGTTCCCAAAGCACCACAGTGCCTCTGGAGCAGGAAGGTGCCACCAGAAGGGACCACACCCTGGGGGTCATGGGATGTCCCTGCCAGGAGCATCCCCACACCCCAGTGCCATTCCCACCTTTGGCACCCATCTGCTCCTGCTTTGCAATCTCCCTCCCCAGGCTTTGCTGCAATGGGGAGCTCGTCCCCTGCGTCACCTCAGGGCTCCCATGTCCCACGGTGGCAGTGGGACCCATGGCACCCACGTGGCTGCAGGCCCCTGGCACCCTCAGGAGAGCAAAACGAGTTTGCAGAACACCCAGAGCTTGAAAAGCCACTGGGAGCAAGGACAGAGACGCGTCACCACGGTTCAGGTGGCACCGGGCGAGGGGTCACCACCGTGTCCCCGTCCCTGGGACCCACCTGTGGGAGTAGAAGAGGACGTCGATGAGCATGGTGGCGATGGCAGGCAGCGTGTCGGGGGCCACGGTCAGGACGCAGAAGCGGGTCTGGGGGCTCTGCACCGGGTGCAGCGTGGGGCTGGCAGCTGACAGGGGGGAGAGTCACCCGTCAGCCTCGGGGGGGACAGCACCGCAGTGCCACCCCGTGGCCACCGCAGCCTGGCACCCCTCAGGGTGCACAGCAGTGGCCCTGGGGTCCCCGAGGACGTGGGTAACCTCGGCGGGAGTCGGAGCATCCCTGCAGGGACGGGGTGGCCCCGGGAACGGCGTGGCCCTGGGGGACACGGGACACGGCGTCACTCACCTGGCTTGGACTTGAGGAAGCCGTTGCTGACATCGTCGCAGGTGACAGGGACGCACTCTCCGCTCTCCTCTTTGTAGATGTCGAACTCCCCCGCCAGCGTGTGGATCACCACCGGCGCTCCCGTACCTGGCCAGGGAGGCAGGGTCAGGGCCAGCCCTGTCCTTGCCGTCGGCCGAGGACAGCGGGGTCCCCCCCAACTCCACCGGAGCCAACACCGTGGTGAGACCAGGCACCGCTGTCCCCGTTCCTGCCCGGCGCTCACCAGGATGAAGTCGGTCTGGTAGGTGGAGAGCATCAGCACGGAGACGTGGTGCTCAGCCAGCGGCGCGATGACCGACCGGGCGATCTTGGTGACACCGGTGGCCTGGCAGCCAGAGGGGGCTCGGCC